AGATATTTGACCAGGAATATTTATAAATTTCGAACGTTACAAATCGTTTAACTTCAGTGGATTACTCATCGGACATGTATTTTTACGAGCTCAGCGTGTGTGGCAAAGGACAAAGCTAGCTAGCTTCCCAGCGAATCGTATCTACATCAACTCATAATTAACTCGCGCAAACCCTCGATAAGATATCAAGGAAGTTAAAGACTAGAAAGAATATTTTATATTGTTTGTAAGTTTGTAAAATTTGTGTATATAAATCATTGTGTGTAATAACTATTTGTAATAACTGTTATTGTAAATTGTACTGTTGTGTGTATATTAAAACGTATCTGTGTTAAAAAGGAAACTGTGTATCAATCTTGTTGGCAAATATCATAAACTGACTATATATCAGCATTTATTTAAATACTAAATCCAAAGTACAATTTAATTACTAAATTTAAATTATCAATTAACTCGGCTTCGGACGATTTGAAATTCTAATATGTAACAGGATATGTTCTTTTAAGTTATTTGGTTAAAATAATTCGAAATCCAGTAAACATTACGATAACAAAATAGTTTTAACGTTTCTGCAAGATGCCATCACTTGTATACTGCAACTTGTAGGCATAAGTTTACAAAGACGTTCAAACGGAAATACCTTGTTAATGGTATTACGACAAACGTAAAAATATACTTACTTGTACAATTTCACGAATAATCGATCAAATAACTGAATATACGCGACAACTAACACTAGTCTAAATAATTCTTAAATACTAAATACTTCACTGAATTGAACTGACTTAGCAGTACTCTGCCAACTGACTCAATGATTCACTGCTAACTTACTGATTAACTGACATAATTGTATTTATATCTGATGTCTCACTTCTAGATATTCGTTGAAGTTACTAGATTTTCATGTTGTTATCTAGATTCTAGGCCTAATTTTATACTTTTCAATCTTAACTTCATTCGCCCTCTAGCTAACATCTAATTAAAACTATGAAAATATAGTTTACAACTTCGCCATAGGCATAGAAACTAACTTTGATGATGTATTTTCTTTTTCTTTACTTCATGAAATATAATATATGTATGCAACTATGTTACATTTGTATGCTTTTTCACGATACATTTCCCATTTTTAGTGGTCTTTTGCTATCGAACCTTAAACATTTGCTTTCAAAATTCACTTACTTTCTAAATAATTTCACATACGTATACTTTGTAATGACAATCGTGTTTGAGCAATACTAAAATTGAGACTTAACACACCTGAAAAACTTCAAGTGTTATGTTTTGGCCATTTCTACAACTATACACAAACTTAACTGCCTGTTTACCATGTTTAATTAAACTATGCAAAAACCAAAGGGCCTTACTCGTCTACTTTTGGAAAATGAGATTTCGTACCCACCACTTAGACACATGTGATATAGTTGTTTGGCCCATACCAACCAGACAAGACTTGCGTGTTGATGGCAGTATAAATAAAATATGAAAGCATTCTTCTGGCTCACTGCTTCTTCGCGCGTCAGTGATATTACGTAAATTTCAAAATAGATGAGGTAGAGCATACAAACCACTGTTAGTTTTCAATAGAGATTTAATGTCACTTGAGGAAGTACGACGTAAGAATACTCGTGGGTACATCGACTCTACACGCCTCAGTCAATGTTCCTAAGCACATTTGAGGGCTAGTTGCGGCCTAGTGTTAGTACTAATGATAAGCGTCGACGGAGATTGTGCTGATGGTTCTTAAAGCCAAGGTAAGTAAGTTCTCACTATATTTTATACAATTATATGAATGTTTTGTTATATCATTAACTCCTGAATAAAGCAATTTACACACATGGATAAGAATTAGATATTAACTCAGTAATAAATATTGTTCATTTAATACGTCATTCTCATTTGTAATTATTAGAATCCATTGATTCATCAATCGGGTACCCTCACTGTTAGCGATATATTTGACTATAATTTCAATATCTCAAGACGTTAGGCCAGCTTGGGTTCGGTTGTTGTTAAGCATAAAGCTACACAATGGGCTACCTATGCTCTATCCATCACGTGTATCGGAACTCAAATTTTAGCGTCATAAGCCTTCAGACTTACTGCCGAGCCACTGGGGGAGGCAGAATATTTAGTTTTAAATCCGTATATTAAGTTAACAATGCAGGATAACCCTAATAATTATAATAATAACATATGTAAAATAACAAATAATAAAAATGAATATAAATTATACATTACATCTTTTAACCAATACTATGAATGAAACTAACACTAAAGAAATAATATAATAATATAACTTACAAAAACAATATTAGTTGTGCCATTATCATATGTTTACGTATTTAGGATTTTTGAAAGAGTTTGAAATTGCGGTATTAGGACAATCGTTAAGTCAACAAATTTAAAATATTTCACCAAAAAATTTATGTTAATACAAAAAAAAATGGTTATTCGCGAATCAAATATTACGTCTTTATTGCGTTACTTGCTACATAACACACATAGAATGCATTGTGCCTCGAATTTTATCGGAATAAGATTAATCAATTGAATCAGAAATAATATATTGAAATAACTTATTTGAAATATGGGTAGAGTTTTGCTCAAACGTTGTCAAATCACAAAGAAATATTGGAACATTATAGTCTTTAGTTTAAACTAATGATGTTGTCCAGATGAACTATACTTTTTAATTTTCATTTAATACTAATAGTAATACAAGCGGATACAAGTGAGTGTGTTCTAGTCTACAGGATTTGTAAGGTTGTTGTTCAGTCTTTTTCATATTTAATTGAAGCGCAACTTTTTTATGAGTTTGTTTGTTTGTAATTAAGCACAAAGCTACACAATTGGCTTTCTGTGATCTGCCCACCACGGGTATCGAAACCTGGATTCTAGTGTTGTAAGTCCGCAGACATACCGCTGTGCCACTGGGGGGCTTTTTTATGAGACTAGATTTCGTCACATTATCGGTTCTATTAATATTACTACGTTCCGATAAAGATCGTATTATAATTTAGATTGTTATATTTAACTATTAAGTAATTGCGTATTGTTCAGAGCATAGCCTACTTCATGCACTAAACTGGCAAAGCACGTACATCACAAAAATCATAATGAGATTTTTTAAAGTATTAGGTGAATTTAATGTGCCAATTATTTGGTAAAATTAGTTACGTAATCTTTAATTAAAATAATTAAAAATTAAAATTGCAGCTTTACTTGAAGTCAATCACAGAACTTCATTGAAGGCAATTAACACGGTCATTACTTCCAGAATTTCTCCTTTGTGTTCCCCCCCCCCCCCCCCCGTGATGACAAAACCGGTTCTTTCATCAGGAATATTTCCATGTCTTTACCATCAAATTAGAAAATAGTAATTCAACATTTAAGAACTAACATTAGAATAAATGAGTGAGTCTCAAAGCGAAGAAACCCAGAAAAGTCAAGCTATTAATATTGGTTGTTGCAAATATAAAGTGCTGAAAAGGATGATAAACTTTTGTTTCTTTTCTTATAGCCAACTATTTTTGGCAAGATTATATGTACCCTGAAATTTATTCTTGTATTTTCTTGATCGAAATTGTAATATGAAGCAAATACACCTAACTCAGCGAAGAGAGAAATATTTTCAGAAATGTTTAATTTATGTCATCTGTAAAATTGTTTTTAAAAAGCATCTTATTCATAAATTATATATTGTCAATCAAGTTTGATTTCAGAGGTTGAAAGGTTAGATATACAAGATTGTTTCCGTTTAAGTTTAATGCAAGAGTTATGATTTAGATAGTTTATATACATAGAGAGAGAGTGTTAAATTTAGTTATATTTGGAAGCAATAATCTGCCGCAAGTTTGTTTGCGTTACTGTTCACGAAGCATACGTTGTGTAGTTCAATAGTTAGGAATTGGTGATTGTTATATTATTGCGTCATGTTACTAGGATCTTTGAGTTTTCTCGTTGTTTTGATTAAGTATTATTGCATCATAATATCTAGTAGTGTGTGAAACGTTCTAGATCTTTGTCGTGGTATAAATATGCTCCGAAAATTTAGTTTGATAGATAGATCTAGACTGCGTGATTGTGAGTTTAGCCATAAATAACATATATTGGTGATTATTAAAGTGAGATTGTCACAGATTGTATTGTAATAACAGAGTAGTGAATGATAATTCGTCTTGTCAATTGTGTTCTAAAGTAATTGAACCATTCTGTGTGGACTGATTCATGAAAAAGAGACAATTATTTAAAGCTCTGGATACATTTGTGGTAACGAACAGTCATAATGGTGATTTTAAAGTAAAATTATTACAGACTGTATTGCAATAACAGAGCACGAAGAATAATTTGTCTTGTCAGTTTGTTTTCTAAAGTAACTGAACCAGCCTATGTGGACTTTGACGAAAAGGAGACAAATATTTATAGTTCTGGATACAACTGTAGCAACCAACAGTGTAACGAACATTTATGTGTATGTTTGACTTGTTTTAATATATTATTTTAAAACAAGTGGACTGTGTGCTGTTTGTTTATTGTTGAAATGTATCGCCAACAAGTCACAGACACCTATTGTAAAGATTTCGGCCCATACATAAAACCTGACAGCTATTTCTATTTTGTTTTTGTATTGTCATCTCAATTTTATAGCAAAATATTTTATTCATCAAAACTTTTGCTTTAAGAGAGAGAAAAAAAGGAGTTTTTAATCAGTTTTATTCTTCCAAACGCCAAATAAATGGATAAAATAGAAGAATAAAAGGAATGGTCTACCATAGTTAATACAAACGATAAGGTAGTTTTGTGAATTAATTTGCTAAAGTAGTATGGATATCGTGAAAATGCATTCCATTTTTTATAATTTATTCAAATTAAATATAACTTGTATATTCTTATATCTATTACATCAAATAAAACTGGAAAGATTCATTGAGCTCGGTAATACTGTTTGCATATCGGTCACTGTCACTAACGGACCTTTCAGGGTACCTTTTTTCTTTGATAATTTCTTTCGCGCAATGAGAAGTTCAGCCGACTGAAACTAACATTTGTGTAATGTGTAGTTTGAAATGTAGGTTAATGCAGGTCAGTGGCATTGCTAGCTGCCGTTGTGGTATTATTATTTAGTTTTTGGAAGTGTATTTAACATGACCAGGTCATTTCCCTCTCGTTTCAGTGCATGTCGGAATGACGATTGGTCCAGTAGTTGTACTAGCTGTTTGTATCAAGTTTATCGTAACACAGTATATTCCTATACCCAGCACTGGAGTTTATGTCGGTATCCCCCTTCATCAATACCCATATTTATATGGACCGCCCAGATACTTTCCTACTGGACAAGGGCAATACCCTTTTTTGCCTAACTATAGCCCACATCCAAGCATCTCGCCTTTTAACAACCCAAATGTTTCGCCTAGTTCGCCAAATAACAGTCCATATGTTTCATCTAGCCCTTTAGAAAACGGTAACTACAATGGCGATAGAGATAATGTTCACGGATTGAATTCTTCAAAAGTAGCGCCCACTACTCCATCTAGTGAAACCAGCTCACAGGTCTTTCGCCCAGTGTCTTCTCTAATAACTGCCAATGTTGGAGACCCCGAGTGTTTCTGTGTTCCTATCTACTTATGCAATGAAGACCTCACTGTTAAAACTGACGGGGCAGGGCTACTTGATTCTCGGAAAAAAACTTCAACACCGGCTCCATTTCTGGTAAGTTTTAAGTATGAGTCACATTTCAAGGTTTATCAGTTTTATGCCATCATGTTTATTTCCAAAAATCGCACGACTCTTGGCTTTAAAACAACGTTTTTAAGTAAATACAAACAAGCAAGTTTAACATATTATTAAAGATTAAAATAAAAACGAAGCATTGTTATCATGTCGTATTGAACCATTGTGTCTCAACCTTTTCCACTCTGTGGATCAGCAGAATCTTTGTATAAAGGAGTATAAAGGCCCATGACCAATAAATATCTAGTACACAAAATGTATTTGTAGGATTGTAAAAAAATAAGTCTGAGAGGATTTAATTTTACTAATATTAGAATTAATTCAGAAAACTTTATGGATATTTTTAGTTATCATCATTATTAGTATCATTGACGAGGCTTACTGATAATGTTAAATGGTGTTCGGCTTATGAAGCCTTTGAGTTTGTTTATAAGCTATAAGTACTTCCAGTTTGGATTCTATATTAGACAAGGCAACTCGGAGCGACGATCCAATTGCCAGTTTGTTTTTATGTTTAGTCTTGATAGTCGTCATAGCTGAGAACCTAACTCACAGAGGTACGAGGGTGGGAAAGTAGACAAATATTTCATGACTGTTGCACTCGACTCTGGATATTTTTTCTTTTTCACTGAATGTTTTTGCATGAACACATGATAATTATTTATCTAATAGAACTGTATGAACATATGCTAATTATATATTTAATATAACTGTATGAACACATGCCTATTACATATCTAATATAACTGTATGAACACACGATAATTATTTATCTAATATAACTGTATGAACATATGATAATTATTTATCTAATATAACTGTATGAACACATGATAATTATTTATCCAATATAACTGTATGAACACATGATAATTATTTATCTAATAGAACTGTATGAACACATGCTAATTATATATTTAATAGAACTGTATGAATCATGCCAATTACATATTTAATATAACTGTATGAACACATGATAATTATTTATCTAATATAACTGTATCAACACATGATATTTATTTATCTAATATAACTGTATGAACACATGATAATTATATATTTAATATAACTGTATGAACACATGCCAATTACATATTTGATATAACTGTATGAACACATGATAATTATATATTTAATAGAACTGTATGAATCATGCCAATCACATATTTGATATAACTGTATGAACACATGATAATTATATATTTAATAGAACTGTATGAATCATGCCAATTACATATTTAATATAACTGTATGAACACATGATAATTATATATTTAATAGAACTGTATGAATCATGCCAATTACATATTTAATATAACTGTATGAATCATGCCAATTACATATTTAATATAACTGTATGAACACATGATAATTATTTATCTAATATAACTGTATGAACACATGATAATTATTTATCTAATATAACTGTATGAACACATGATAATTATTTATCTAATATAACTGTATGAACACATGATAATTATTTATTTAACATAACTGTATGAACAAACGATAAATATTTATTTAATATAACTGTATGAACACACGATAAATATTTATTTAATAGAACTGCATGAACACAGGATAATTATTCATTTAATATAAATGTATGAACTCACGATAATTATTCATTTAAAATAAATGTATGAACACACGATAATTATTCATTTAAAATAAATGTATGAACACACGATAATTATT